TTTTTTTTTTTTTTTTTTTTTTTTTTTTTTGGGGTTCATCATTGAGCTCTGAGCTCTGAATGCTATTATTCTGTTCAAATATCAAGAACAATCAATCTTTGCTACCCTGATTATTTCATATTCATAGCAAGGATGCTTGCTAAACTGGATCAACTGATCCAAACCGATCTCCACCGTCCAATTCGGCCCACTCTCCTTTTGCAGCTCAACTGCTTCACTTCTATTGGAAACCTCCGAACAACAGGCTAATCGGACAAACCCTTCACAGAGGGAATTGAACTTCTCGAATCAAAAGCGCACGATTTAGCATCCTTGCAGTGAAGCAAGTCTTGCAAATGCAATTTTCTGATTGTTCAGGCCCCATACAATTTGTAGGACCTCTAAAAATCTTGTTTTTTGTCCCAAGGATATGTGAAGCTAATGCCTGTAGAGTAACTAGGGTTAGGGCTGCAAACGAGTCGAGCGGCTCACAAGCCGCTCACGAGCGCTCGAGTCGAGTTGACCGAACTCGAGTCGAGCTCGAGCCCATATTTTGCATTACCGAATGGCTCGTCGAGCGGCTCGATATATGTATTAAATTACTAAAATATTTCTTATATATATTTAAGATAATGCTCCCCTACCCACGGTAGACACAATAATATGTCTACCGTTTATGTGGCATGCACACATTGGTGATGCATTTTTTTGAACATATTAACATTACCATTGTATGCATGCCACATAAGCGTGAGACATTTTAATATGTGTCCACTTTTGGTAGGGGAACACTAGCCATATATTTAAATAGTATAACACAAGTGTTTGATGCTAATTTCACTTAAATTTTAGAATTTGATTTCGAGTTGAGCTCAAGTCGAACTCGACCTATTGTATTTTCTTATCGAGTCGAGCTCAAGCCTCATAAATCGAGCTCGAGCAGCTAAAAAAAAATTCATTCCTGATAGGTAAGACCAATGTTCGGCTCGGCTCGGCTCGTTTGTCGCCCTATGTGTGAGACGCTGGAAAATGCAACTTAAAAATCATGGCAAAAATGGTATCCAAGTCTAATACGAGAACAGGGGAGAAAGATTGAAGTGCCCATGAGCTTGGTGAAACTCAACCTCTATCCACATCGAGATCAATTGACGTCTCAATTCAGTAGGCCCTTTTTCGTCATTTAAATAACTGCAATCCCCAAGCTAAATATATAAATTAGCCTGCGCAGGGAGAGACTAGGCCGCTAGGCCCGCCACTCTCCCACGATGGATGACGGGGATCGCCGCAGCCGAGGCCGCCAAACATCCGCCGGAGGCACCGATCGGACAGGACAAGGACCACTGGTGAGTACGGCAATCGTACGTTCTATTATTTCCAGGTAACCCTAACATTTACCTTTCTGAATAACCAGCCACCGGCGCAGCCGCAGCCCGCCAAGTACATCCCGCCGCACCTTCGGAGCCGGGCGAGTGGTTCCGGTGCTGGACCCCACCCGTATTCGCTCCAGCGATCCGGCGAAATTGGTCCCATTGGGAGATCGTCTGATCCGCCTCCAGCTCCTCCTGCTCACCGGACCTCTCGATTTGGGTCAGGTAAATGTTTTTTTTT